GGAGATTGTTTACAACGATCACACGACGGATCCAAGTCCTTTTTGAATTTGCACAATCTGTCCTTAGACCCGGATCATCGCCCTCTTGACTCACTTACTGTCCATCACTGTCCTCCTCCCTCACTTCCTGTCCACCTCACTGCCCTCCTACCTCACTTCCTGTCCACCTGTCTACCCTCCTACCTCACTTCCTGTCCACCTGTCCACCCTCCTACCTCACTTCCTGTCTACTTGTCCATCCTCCTACCTCACTTCCTGTCCACCCTCCTACCTCACTTCCTGTCCATCCTCCTACCTCACTTCCTGTCCACCTCACTGCCCTCCTACCTCACTTCCTGTCCACCTGTCTACCCTCCTACCTCACTTCCTGTCCACCTGTCCACCCTCCTACCTCACTTCCTGTCCACTTGTCCATCCTCCTACCTCACTTCCTGTCCACCCTCCTACCTCACTTCCTGTCCATCCTCCTACCTCACTTCCTGTCCACCTGTCTACCCTCCTACCTCACTTACTGTCCACCTGTCCATCCTCCTACCTCACTTCCTGTCCACTTGTCCATCCTCCTACCTCACTTCCTGTCCACCTGTCTATCCTCCTACCTCACTTCCTGTCCACCTGTCTACCCTCCTACCTCACTTCCTGTCCACTTGTCCATTCTCCTATCTCACTTCCTGTCCACTTGTCCATCCTCCTACCTCACTTCCTGTCCACCTGTCTATCCTCCTACCTCACTTCCTGTCCACTTGTCCATCCTCCTACCTCACTTCCTGTCCACCTGTCTATCCTCCTACCTCCCTTCCTGTCCACCTGTCTACCATCCTACCTCACTTCCTGTCCACCCTCCTGCCTCACTTCCTGTCCACCTGTCTATCCTCCTACCTCACTTCATGTCCACCTGTCCATCCTCTTACCTCACTTCCTGTCCACCTGTCTATCCTCCTACCTCACTTCCTGTCCACCTGTCCACCCTCCTACCTCACTTCCTGCCCACCTCACTGCCCTCTTACCTCACTTCCTGTCCACCCTCCTACCTCACTTCCTGTCCACCTTCCTACCTCACTTCCTGTCCACCTGTCCACCTGTCCACCCTCCTACCTCACTTCCTGTCCACCTGTCCACCCTCCTACCTCACTTCCTGTCCACAGGTCCACCCTCCTACCTCACTTCCTGTCCACTAGTCCACCCTCCTACCTCACTTCGGCTGTGTCCAAAACGGCAGGACGGGTCCTCCGAAGGTCGAATTTGTCGGCCGCATACGTCACAGCGCCGCGACGAAGGACGTCCAAAACTGAAGACTCCTCCAATGCAGCCGACAAATACGTCCTTCCTTTTGCCCGAATCGAAGGACAGGTCTGATGGATCCTTCCCGGCTCAGCATATCCCATAATGCATCGCGGCCCGACCTGAGATTTTTTTATGCTAGTAATGGTGGACGAAGCGAGAGAAAAGAATACATTTTAAATAAAAATATGGTGATATAAAAATTTTAAAAAATTAGCGGTTGTAATTCTAATACTTTTATCATTTGTATGGACATATTTTTAAATATTATTTTTCGTCATAAAAAACGCGAAATAAACATGAACCTACAGCGGGACAATTAGTTCTTCAAATGATACCTTTAAGTTAATTTTATAGTTTTGTGATATTAATAATGCTAATATATTGCTATTTTTCTAATTTTGATTTAAGTTTGCTTGTTTTGCGTCGTCACAGTTGCTAGGTGACATGACGTACGCCGGGGTGGAGGGGAGGCTAGACCGTCCAAATTCACAGCCTCTTTTTTCCGGTCTTCCTGGTCTACCAAGGGCCCGGCCCGCCACGACCGGGGAGTCTGGGTCCTCCGGAGGACCCGGCCTGTCATTTTGGGCACAGCCATCTTGTCCATCTGTCCACCCTCCTACCTCACTTCCTGTCCACTTGTCTATCCTCGTACTTCACTTCCTGTCTATCCTCCTATCTCACTTCCTGTCCACCTGTCTACCCTCCTACCTCACTTCCTGACCACCTGTCCACCCTCCTACCTCACTTCCTGTCCACCCTCCTACCTCACTTCCTGTCTACCTGTCCACCCTCCTACCTCACTTCCTGTCTACCTGTCCACCCTCCTACCTCACTTCCTGTCCACCTGTCTGTCTGCTTGGCTCTGCTGCATGTCAACAGCCCTCTGCAGTCCAGCACACAGGCCCATAGCAACAGGACTGATGAAGACAATGATGATGCATATACTTACTCTGTTAAAACAATAAAGCTTCTGGATAATCAGTTTTATTTATTCTGTGTTTTCTGGTTTAAAAGCTTCAGTCTGTTATAACACGTCAGCTAATCTTTCTTTGACTTGGGTGTGCTGAACTACTGATTAGCTGTTTGATGTCAATAACGATCACATTAAAAGACATAAAGATAAAATAAAATTTTCTGTTTACTTATCCGTTTATATATACACTCACCGGCCACTTTATTAGGTACACCATGCTAGTAATGGGTTGGACCCCCTTTTGCCTTCAGAACTGCCTCAATTCTTCATGGCATAGATTCAACAAGGTGCTGGAAGCATTCCTCAGAGATTTTGGTCCATAT